GAAAACAGCCATAAGTTGCAAAAACCTTGCAGATTCATTGGGGTGGGGGGGGTGGGGAGAAGGTCCGGGGGCAGCAGGAGACAAGGTTAGCATCTCCTTGCCGTATAAAAATAGGAGCGGCTTTACAAAAAAGCATGCTGAGTTGCTCTGCAAACATTTTTATGCTGACTATGCCCTTAGTGTTTAATTAAGCCTTAATCCCCAGCACTGAATAGATTCAGTGGATTAAAAAAAAATCAGTAATAAGAGATTCCAGTAGAATCCAGTCATACCCCATTCTTTCTCCTGGGTTGGCTCCCAAATGCAGTGCTTCTGAATTGAAATTGGAGGCAGATTTCTCAGAAAGATATCCCCGAATGGTCTCGATTAGCTCCCAGGATGAAAAGTCGGGATCCCCATTCAAAGCAGAGAGGAAGTTCTTCTCTTTGTATCAAGAGGCTGCTTAGAGAATATTTCTGGGGTTGCCCTCATCCCCAGGGACGGACTGTACTTGGAAGTCCCAGCACGCCTGCGCTCCAGCCCATGGCAATAAATGTTCAACAGAGCAGATAAAAGCAGCTCGTATTGTTTTATTTGCCAGCTTGTTTGTTTAAAATGTTTTTAGGCCAGCGTTAAGGGTAAAAGGAAAAAATACCTCAATGCCGCCTCCAGGAAAAAAAACCCAATGCAGTAGTGCACAACAAGTGAATAATTAAGCTAGCAGCAGTCATTTTTTTTAAAGTACCTCGCATAAAAAATGCTAACAACTCATTCAAAATAACATCTAAACTGTGCCAGCAGCCTCCTAAAACAAGACTCAACCAAGAGCCGATGAAAACATTGATGTGCTGGCAGATGTTGCTATGCGCCAATGTATAGCTGCAAAACCTAGTCTCCGACGCTGGGTTCCATTTCCTAAGAAATTTCACTTCTTTCTTTGTTTTGCTTGTCTTAAAGTGACTTTCTGGTTTTTATCGCTACTAAAGCATGCCTGGAACTCAGTGGCCCTTGCCTGGCAAATTTTGGAGCGCAGCAGATGTTGACCAAGATTCAGCATCATCTTTCCTTTCTCCATAGCCAGCAGAAAAGAATAAATTATACAAAAGAAGCTTACGCAAAAGGACATAATTCTCCCAGAACTGGTCTTTTGTGGTGCCATTTGGCAAAATCCAGACTGTACGTTTTCTTAAATGCAACTTCCCAAACCCAAGATGGGTAACTCCTATATATAATCTATAATCTATTTCCCAACTTGGTGCCCTCCAGACATTTTAGCTTCAACTTCCAAAATTCTGAGATGGGAATCCTGGAAATTGGAGCCCCATGCTTCTAAAAGATAGACTGGCAATACTTCATACATAGGGCATAAGTTACCCTATGCTGGTATATGACCGTCATAAATATTGATTTGATTTGATGTATTACCCAGCCTTGCATGGAATCCATCCCATCTGTCTATACATGAAGCACCCAGTCAACCTTGAATTCTGTTCTTCCAACAGGGCCACATTGGCACTACCGCAACGAAAATAATTGACGTCTACCTCCCACTACATGCCAACCAGGACAAGTTGCAACCTATGACTGTGGTGACAATTGCCAATGCCAAGGTGCAGGACTTGATTGGGCTCATCTGCTGGCAGTATACGAGCGAAGGACGGGAACCCAAGTTGAAGTAGGCCATTTCGGGGTGTCATCTACTCCTTTCTAATCTCTCTCTCTCTCTCTCTCTCCTCCTTGCAAGCATTTTTGCATAATGAAATGGATTTCCATATATACACACATGCACATACACACACACACACAAACACACACGCACACAGATAAATCTTACTACAACACCTCCACGTTTATCAATATTTCCTTCCGAGCTCTGCGTACATCTATATCTATTTCTCTTTCAATTAAATTACTGGGTAGTGAGTAATGACAAGCGTATGAAGCTGGTGTTGTATAAATGAATCATCATTTCAAGATGTACTCCCTTTTTGGGTGTCTTGTTTGTTTGTTTTTAAAAAAGATAAATCACCTCCACATCAGTGTCACCACACGGGTAGCATTTTAATGTCCCTGAGGGTTTGAGTCACTTCTTTAACGGGTGGGAGTCGAACAGTGCCTCACTTCCCTAAATTCTGATAGAACGTGGGGACACTTTTCTCCTCCTGAATGTGGTGTCCTCTTGCCAGAGGCAAGCTACTTAAATTTAAGAACTCAGCACTGAGGCTTTCTTTATAGCAACCTGTTAGCTTAATTTTACCTGCCCCTTAATCTGATTTGAGGAACTCTCTGTAAACAACCACCTTAGCAAGAATAACCGTCTGGGGAAGGAAAGCAAGAAGGAAATGTATGAGGGAGAAAAAAGCAGGATGATAGCAGGAGAGAAAATGTCACATGACATGGAAACATGGTTTGCCTAGTTAAGGCTTGAATAAATTGAGTTCATCCAGAGTGCAAAGTCATTAACCATGGTTTGCAACCACAGTGGCTGGGTCCGTTGGTCTTGCTAAGCCAAAACTAGACAAGCCACTTCAGAGAATTGTGCTTAGTCCAAAGGTGGCCCCACCCACTGCTTGCTTCAGCCACACCCACCTGTGAGGCCCCCAACAGTTCACAACCCAGGGAATGTTGCTGTTTACACACAATCATTTTTAAAAAGGTTGTCTAGTCTTTATCTGCAGCTCGTGGTTGGACTAGGATTTGCCCTTGAGGTTCTATCACTACATTCATAAAGTTTAATATGTTAGGCTAAAATAGTGATCTTCAAACTACCAAGCTTATTTCTGTAGGACTGTAGCAAAAGTAGAGCATTGGTGATCCTGAAACTAAGAAGACCCATACCTGTGATTAGAGAGGTCCACTTGAGACATCCTTTCAACCCAGAGTAGTCTACCACATCTGTTCTGTTCATCCACTTGTATATTGACTCTGCAAGTTGGTGTCTCGTATGCCAAAAATGAATCCAAAAATAATGTAAGGATGATTTGGTTGGCCTGCCAGAGTCCCTTTAGCTGTATCCAAGATGGGTTTTCTCAGCAATTCCCAACTGCAGGAACAGGCTACCTTTGTAATCTTGAATGCCTATCATGAAAGCCAGCTCAGGAACAGTTGATTGGCATTATTTGGGAGTTATTTGCAATCTTTTGATCCCAGTGCAATTTTGCATGCTCCCTTCACAAACATTAAATGGAATTCTCAAATCCATATTGAAGGACAGGGTCCTGGAGTGTTTTGTGAGGACTTCTAACAATTTATTCCAGGACCCTGTACTTTCTGGTTAACTGTCTGTTGAGCAAATGTGCAAGCTAGAGAAACTTTAGTGGGTTGTTATTACCTCTTTAATATAATAAATACTAAAGCTGTGACAGCTTGAGGATGAATCACCTGGAGTAAGCACGCTTGGTGAACTAAGTTACAAACCCAAGGTATGCGAATTAATTGGGGAAATAGCAAATCAGGTAGTCGGCAAAATAATTCACTGTCACATCCAATCAATAAACTTTGTAAATCAACTCATTTAATTCCTCTTCCAAAAATGATCCATATAGATCAAGCAGCCAATTAAACAATTAACATGCGCTTTACTATTAATTAATTTAAGCATCAGTCAGACAATTAAAACTTCTGAACTTGGACTTGTCAAATTGAATGAGGGAGAGGGGAAATTAAAGTCACGATGGCATAAAAATTCTGGGATGTTGCAACCCAAACAACCTGGGGCAACATATGATTGCGTCTCTGTATTCCCAAATATGCAAGGCTGTTTTTTATTAAAACATCTCTTTCTGGCAGTCCAGATTGATTTTTAATCCTTTCAACCCTGTAACCATTTTAACGCAAAATACCTTAAACAGTGTCATCTGGGCAGACAACCTGTTGCCCTCTGGATATATTTGGACTACAGTTCCCCTCAGCTAGCATGCAGGGGCTATTGAATGGGTGTCACACACACACACACACACACACACACACCCATTGCTCATGATCTAAGTAACCCCCAGTGTTATCTTTGCCTGCTGCAGACAGGCTGTTTGAACATGAGCTTGTGGAAGAGGTATGGTCTCATAAGTTTCAGGAAGAAGAGCAATTTAACAGTCCATGAACAGTATGACACTTGGTTGACCACTGTGAGACTAATCCCAGCACCCTAGAATTAACTCCTCTGCCTTGGTCCTCTTAGATTCTCCAGGGCTCTCAACCTTCAACTTGCCATCTGCAATTGGGGGAGATAGAAGTACACTATCCAGCCATTGCGAGAAGTGCAGCTAGACTGTGGATGTCCAGCCTTCTGAAGACAGACATGCCTTATGCCAAACTGAGCATCACAATCCCGATTCATAAATGTGGAGTGGGTTTATTTCTATGCGGGTCTCCCAACTTCTCTTTCTCCTGGTTCCTTGCAGTGACAACGTCAGTGCTTACTGTCTCCATATTGCTGAAGATGATGGTGAAGTTGACACAGATTTCCCACCCTTGGATTGCAATGAACCCATTCACAAGTTTGGCTTCAGTACTTTGGCCTTGGTCGAGAAGTATTCATCACCGGGCTTGGTGGCCAAGCAGTCCCTTTTTGTTCGAATGTAAGTCTCTTCCTTCTCATGTTTATTGATCAATTAAGAATAATTGACTCCTTAGCAAATGTAATAATGAAATAAGAACTTGGGCTGCCATGAATTCTCCCTCTTATGCACAAGGCATCTGAGGTCATGCAGGAAACCAGATGCAAGGGGGTAGAAAACAATAATGAAAAACAAATGGAGAGATGATCCTCAAAGTGTCTAAGAAGCATTGGTTGTGCAATGCATTTGGGATCCAGTCCTTTATCAAGGCCTTTATCCTGCATTTCTTCCCTGTAAGTTTGGGTAAACCACTGTGAGCCATATAATCCTCTATTTGCTGTTCTTTTTCTCTGTTAAAACAAAGGAGAGAACAAATAAAATAGAAGGGTTAGGACTCCTGTAGGTGATTTTACCTTCCCGTCCAAACCCAAAAAAATCAGAAAAACTTAGAGTTGGAAGGGACCACGTGGATCCTCAAGTCCCACCCACTGCTCAGTGCAGGAATCTGATTTAAAGCGTCCCAAACCGAGGGCTGTTTGGCTTTCTCTTGAACCCATCCAGTGAAAGGAAACCGATCCCTTGTCTGGAGTATCAATTCCATTGCTCCTTATGTTAGGACTTTTTTGTCCAAGATTCAGTCAAAGTCTGTCTTCCTATAACTTGAATCCATCATGTCAAGTTCTACATTCTGGAATGAGAATGGACAGGGCTTACCTTCTGCCTTGTCATTCTTCCAGGTATTTGAAAAGTCCTATTTAATCCCCCTTGAATCTTCTGGTCTCAGGGCTTACATGCCTATCTGCTTCCTCCTGTCATCAGTTTCTACTCCCCTGAATCATCCTTGTTGCCCTTCTTTGTCCTTCTTCCGGGTTCTCAAAATCCTCTTAAGGGGTGGTGGAAACTATACTTCTGTTGGTGCAACTGAAATGACATTTGTTTTTTTTGAATCCACCACTCAAGAAAAAGCGGGGCGAGATAGCCTTGCCCACTCCAACAGCGTCACTAAGTCACTGCATCTTCTGCTATTAGCCTTGATTGCGGTGGAAGCTAAACAGTTGTGATAAAAGCTAGGCAAGGCCATCAGAGTACACCCAAAGGATATTTGTGGAAGTATAAAGAATCACATTTGTGAGATGGGCGGCTATATAAATGTGAGGAGGGAGGGAGGGCATCCAAAGCAAAAAAGCAAAAACCCAGTTCTGATGAGTGTGTTGTTGTTGTTGTTATTATTATTATTATTATTATTTATATGCCACCCAACTCCCAGCGACTCTGTAAATCTCACAGGGCAGTTGATTCGCTGAAACACCACAAAAGCTCGTGACATGGATGAGATGGATCCGCACAGTTTACATGAGTGAGAGCACATATCAATATTTGCAGTCCAACTATTTTGTGGTATCGGCACACTCGTTTCTCCTTCCTGTAATGAGTCCTGGCCCTCAGAACAGAACAAATGCTGCATGCGCAAAACTCAGCGTTTTCCAACCTGACTCAGTTTCCCTCTTGGCATGGGCAGCTGCATCAGGAAGAAGCCAAAGCTTTCAATGCGTTTATTTGAAATGACAGGAGGAGTTGAATAAAAGCAGATGGATGGCTCTCCTCCGTCTGTCCCAATGTGTTTGGTTTTCTTGGAAGGCTCTGATAAGTTCAGAGATCGGGGGGCAGGGTGGAGGGGAGGAAGGCATTCACAAGGTGTCCCAAAGATTTGCAGTGGAGCATAAAGCAGTTTTGGAAGTATTTAGGAGTTATAAGCTATTTAGGCTTACAAAGTAAAGCCAGCCTTACTGCCACATTTCTAGAAGGCAGAGCTACCTAGGGGCAGACACAGGAGGCCTAATCTAATGGAGCATCTAATCATTCTGCATCTTCTAAAACTTTTGTTTTATTATTTTGATGTATTAAATGTCTTAGAATGCATCTCTCTGGGCATATAAAGTAGAATGTCATAAATGCAATAAAAATCACAAGGATTGATGAAAATAACAGCCTAGATAAACAGTCCACTGGAAGAGTCCAACAGCAGTGAAATACCACCAGGAAGACAAAAATGGGGGAAGCAGCCTTTGAACAAAGAGTTAAAAACTAATCTTCAGGGTCTAAAATAGGAGCCTGAGGAATGCTGGGTTAATTGTTGTGTGTTTCAAGTGAGACAAAGGCGCAGATGCCAAACTTAGTGAGGGAAAGTGTTGTAAAGGTGAGTAGCCATCATTAAGAAGACTCTTCTCTCCTGCTGATCCTCCAAACATGGAGGCAGCACATGGATACAGGCCAGGAAGTATGTTCTGGAGGCAATTTTCCCCAGCCTAATAGCATTCCAGATACACACTCATCATGGCCACTGTGGCCACTGAGAATCCCGGAAGCTAAAATCCAGCATATTGGAGCACACCGGGTTGCATTAGATCCTTGTCTTAAGTTCTGAGCAGCAACATACAGAGGAGAAAAAGTTAGCACCAGGTTAGCGGGCAGCTCTCATTTCGGGGATCCCTGTTGCAAGGGGCCAGATACAAAGTTAGATAGCTAGTAGTCCACCTGCTGTGCCGAATCTGCTCTCGGCTGTATGAAACAGTTACTTGAGTTGCCACTTACATAGCCTCATAGGAGTCAGAATCAATTTTGAATGGCATATATTCTGGCAGAGGTGGAGCAGGCCACCAGACTTTGGACACTTTAAAGGTCATGCCAAAGCCACTCCATCACCACCACCACAGTTTGTTTAGCAATACTCACCACCAGTGGTTGGAAGAGGGCCCCTCCAAGCATCTAAATATGCTGAACTGAGAGCCGAACGTCTTTGCAGTTATGGAGAGTAGTAAATAATTGAGTTTGATTAGGAAAAGGCACCTCATTATCCCCCCACCTGTGCCCAGCTGGTAGGGGAGGGTCGAAATGAAGCTATTAGCTGTCTCTCTGCCTGGCATCGCCAAGTGCTGAAATACATCTGTGTCTTATTTTCTTTTCTGGCACCATCACTCGAGAGAGCTAAGCAGGCATGACCAAATTTGGCAACTCCCAAGGACTCTGGCAAAGTTATACAAGGAGAAGACAGAGGGCAGTCATCCCAACTTTGAATGTGGCCATCAGTCTCGCGTGCTGATGGCTTTTGGAAGACAGTCGGGATGAAAAGGAGTCATTCTTGTCTGATGTCAGGTGCTGAATCTGCTTCTCCCCCAAGCAAGCCTGCTTTCATTGGGGGGTGGGATTTCCCCCCCCCAAGTTGAGTCTTGAGGAGAGGGTTCTTCAGAGAGCAAGCGTCAGGTTTCAGTTGACCCATTTCTCCAGAAAGCAAGACTCTTCCTAAGTTCCTTCAAGAAGATTTATTGAAGGAAGATAGGATCACATTGCAAAAATCTCAACAACTGGTTTGTTTTCCCCTTTCAAAATTCAGCTGATCTAGGTTCCTAAGGCAATGATTTTTTCATTCTCTTACTCACATGTGAACTGGCGAGGAAGTTGCTCATTTAACTGATAATGGAGGAATGTCCATCTGGTTAGAATGTACATTTTTCTCCAGTCCTGAACACACTATGACCTTCCATAGGGATGCTGCTCTTTAGCAGTTCTGAAGAGGTAGCGTAGTACAGTGGGTAAAGCCTTGGAGCAGTAGGGTGAGAGAGTTAGCGAGGCTTTGGTTGGAATCACTGTTCCGCCACAAAGATGGTTAGATTATTTGGGGCCAGCCCTTCCCTCTTTGCCTGAGTAGTTAAGTTGGGTTGTAGAAGTCACTTGGAACTCCTTGCTAAAGGATAGTAGAATTAAAATGAGATGAGTCAACATCAGGGTGGCCTTTTTCAGATGGTTCTAAACCTGAGCATGGCTTAAACTTGTGGAAGCTAGCTATGCAGAAGTATTTACTCTAGGAATAGGTAAGTTAGTGCTTCCCCTCTTTTGTGGTAGATCATTCTGGCTGGATTTATAACACGTTTCAGTCCTCGTCTGACTCTTAGGCAGACGTTGCAAGGAAGATGGGAGATGTTCTCTTTAACCACAGAACCCATTTTAGGAATATTGAAAGCTCATTACAACATGTAAGCACCAACTTGGTTCTCAAAGCTTCTGAATCTGTCCATGCTGGATCAATGAGTCCATGTATTTAACAGAAGGTGATCTGGACTTTGGCCAGATTTTGCACTTGCTCGGGGGTCCTGGTTGAAGAACTAACTCAGAAGTGACATTTTCTAATTCAGGCATTAAAACATCTTCACACTGTCCTGGGTCACTTGGAACAGCTTCCATGCAATGCTGCTCTCTGACCATCATGCAGACACCCAAAATAGAGTTTATTCTATCCATTGCTGGATAGCTCGCTATGAAGGTGGAATAAACCTTCTAAAAGTATGAGAAATATCACTTGGCAAAGCAGTTTCTTGATGCTTCTGAGAGAGGGCCCAATTCAAAGATAGACTTGGATGACCTACCTTGGAAGAAGCGCCATCATCCATTCAAAAGCTTCACTTCTCTCTTTGAACTTGGGCCTTCTCAACCTGGTGCCTGCTCCTTGTTTCCTAATCTGGCCATCGCCAAGAAGTTTCCCATGCCATCTTGGGAGATTGAAGAAGAAATTTCTTTATTTCCCTGTTTTCTTCCCCCTCCCATGAGCATTAATGGATTTGCTGGAGGGTCAGACGTCATGCGTTTTCCCGAGACGCTGACATTCTTCTCGCCTCTCTCCCCCCGCCCACCATCGGGTAATTCTTCTTTTCTCTCTCTCTTTTTTTCCTTCCTTTCCCCCCTTCTTTCTCCCTCTCCTGAACCTTGCCACCCTGGCTTCGGCGTCGAGGCTGTAAAGGAAGATGGAAAGCCACGTTACCTCAGAATGATCACTATCATTAACATTCACGGGGGGTTCACTCATCATTCCTGACTGCACAGACATGGCAGCCGCTATGAAGTGTCCACAGGTGTAGCACGATGATACATATTACATTGTGCCACAATGGATTTATGTATTCTGTAACAAAAGAAAAGTGTAATGAAAAAATACAGAAGGTAATCCTTTATTCCCCCACCACACAATT